TCGAAAGTTTTTGACTTGTGAGAAAATACCATAGTTATTTCCAATAACATGAAGTCTACAATTAGAAAGTTTAATATTTTTGTCCAAAAACATGTGTCGACGACTGTACCCCATTTTACGTTAGTATGTAGAAGTTTACATTAAAATTTAATGGTTTTCTAAGTCAAAATTCAAGCAAAAATTGGACTGATATTGGGCACTATTTCAAGCACAATTTTTTGAGACGTAAATTGTACCTATAGCTCGTTCGATATTCGCGCACTGAGGTGAGTATGCTGGGCGTAGAACCTACGCTCAGCATACTCACTGAACGAAGCCTATAACTCCGAAGTTATTCGAGCACTGTTTTTTCTTTTTGGGCACCGTTTGGCACTATTTGGGAACTATTTTTTGAAGTATGAATTATGTTTGAAGCGTATACAGATTCTCCGGACGGAGGTGAGTATGCTGGGCGAAACCTTCGTCCAGCATACTCATCGAACTATGGCTATAACTTCGCAAGTACAAGAGCACTATTTTTTTCCTTTGGGCACTATTTAGCACTATTTCAGAACAGTTTTTTGACATTCATGAAATATCAGGATTCCATGGTGAGTATGCTGGACGAAGGGACACAAAGTGATGACTTTTGTCACATTTTTATATCTCCACTTGTTTATATTTTCCACATTTTAGGTAATTTGTTGAAGTTAGTAAGAAGTATAATTTTATGCTTGTGGTTTGTTGGTGGTAAGATGTGTATATGTAACATCGATATACTTATCAGTATTTTTGAATTTGAAATATTTATAATACATGTAAATACATTAAATAATTATATATGTCATTATATGCAAGTCAATCCATTTGTCAAATTAATGCACACACACACACAGTTTGTAAAATACGACAACAATAGTAGGAATTTATGATGTATTATGATATTAATTTACAAATATGTATAAAATAACACCCATCTCTTTAACTATATGAAATAATTTTCAATTTTATGCTATTGTAATAAAGGTGATATTTATTTAAAGAGTTTGGTAATTTACGTCATCTTGTGATATGCTACTTTTTATGCCATAAGCTTAGCTACCGCCATTTTAAATACCTCCTTGAAGTTACTTTACACTCTAAAAGACTTTAAAAATTCATATTGTTTTGCATTATTGCGTAAGTCTTGAGACTTGATAGTGTTTTTTCTCCGACATTTTCTAGCTCAGCATGAAAATATGCAATTAAGAATGTTACAAAGCGTGTAATAGGGAAGGCGTTATTATGAAGAACTGCTCTTGCCCTCTGTTTAGAATAAGGTTCATTTTCCCGTTCAATTTTTGTAGTAGCCTTTTTGACAATAACTTTTACATAGAATGGTTTTATTGATGATGCTATTTTATATAGTGATTGGATTTGTTTCTTGTATTTTTGATATTGTACTGTTTTCCAACTGCACACTACTTTTGTGATTGTATATATCCTTATGTTAGAAAAATATTTTTAACAACATTTACATGAAAGATGTTTCCGGCTTCTCAAGCATGAGGTTCGAAACCTGGCGAGTACCAACGTGACTTTCTTATACATTTACATATGTACTTTCCAAGTATATTTAGACACCACTGACAAACGGTGGAAGAAAACACTGTGAGGCAATCTGAACTTTATAATTTCTAATTATAAGTTTAAAATCACCAATCCACCTTCAGTGAGCGTGGTGATTAATTCTTAAATCTTCTTCCTGTGAGAAGAGACCTTTCCCTTGCAGTGGACACTTATAGTTTAATGATGTGACGTGTGACATCTATTTGACGTGGATAAGTATACAAACATTAAGATTGATTGGCAGTACAGTCGACAACATTAAATTGGAGACTCGGTTGCCATTAAAGAAAAAAAATTAAGATTGATTTAATAGAGCGACAGTTACCATTGTTTGGTTTCTCAGCTGACCAATGGTTACTAAAGACATGGTTTTACAAAAAACCATTAAAACTTTTGTATAAACTACATAATTATAAATAGTGACTCTATACTTACTAAGTGAATTTTTATAGTCTTATCTGTATACCAACTGCGCAGTCAATACGTAAGCGTCATCCTTTGGCATTTTTTGATCCATTTTATTTGTTCATAGCAGCTTTGTTATGATGTCTTTTAATATTTATTTTAAAATACGTTTTGAGTACATTTTTTGTAGCATGTAATCTCAGCGTTGATAACTTTTGTTTATTTAAACTTTTGAGTGGCAGCTATATGTATGTTACAAATATTATGTAAGTACTATGGATACCTATCTATAGCTATATGTGTATGTTTTGCTTGTAATTTATATGTTGAAGTAAAACTGGAAATGTGTTTTATATACAATTTATAAATGTTATCTTGTAGGTGGCTGGGTTCAGTTCAGTTATGTTTTCGTTATTTTATACAAACTAATAGTTATCAGGAGATTTCTTTTACTGAACTTTTTTATTATTGTTATATTTTGATAACAAATTTAGGTGTCAGAACTATTACCTAATTGTTCCCATTATAAAATTACTTACGACCGCACGTTTAACGCGGTTTCTGGGCAACTGTCTGCCGAGCAACGCGTCGCGGTTTCGATTCTCGCACAGATCAATTCTTTGTGGATTGTACAAATTATTACTCCAGATTTGTATGTAAACTTGTATGTTTGTAAGCGCACAGAAAAAATCCTAGTGTGGGGCAACGTTTAAAAAATAATAATAAAAAGTAATATCATTGACTCATCGGCTAATAAGGGGGTACCTTCGCAGCCAGTAACATATTTTTCTAATTAGGGCGAGAATATCCAGTCGCTTCCCACATGTCAATGCATTTGACCCCCGTATTATATTTATAAACAAGGGACGTTATTCAGGGGAAATATGTCAAAGTCATTGTTGTCTATCATTACGTGACTACCGTTAAATAAACAGGGGTTTAGATAGCGTTGCATGTACTGATATTGTTAAAGATATGAACTTACAAATTAATTTCTATGTAAACTTTCTTTGTTGCGCAATTAAATTGCGTTTTATGTGTATGTTTCATTTTTTTATTCATATACTTTGGTATATTTTAGGGGAAATATTAAAAGTTTTAACGCGTAAGCATTTAATTTGAGTTATTCAAATATTGATAATGTTCCGACAAAAAAAAATCATATGCAGCAGCCTCAAAAAGCCTCTTAAACTCACGGATGATTAGAACCACAGAAGCTCAATCAGTTTTTTGTTTATCTAGACCCCACACTAGGATTTTTCCCATGTTATGGGCGCGTTTACAAACATACAATTTCACACGCATCCCAGTCAATTTGTGAATTACGCAAAGAGTTGCTTATTGCGGGAACCAAACCTGGGACACGTTGCAAGGCAGCTGTTTGCTTCATGCATCATTTATTTAGTCAAATATATGTATATACTGAGTCTTTGATATTCATTTAATAAATAAGTTATAAAGTCAATTAAAACTAATATTGTAACAATATCCAGTCAGCACATTCAAATAAAAACTTTATGACCCTGTAATAAAATAGAATGTTTCACTTACGACCAGTGAATGTTATTTAACTTTTCCTATCGTAACATGAAACTGTGGAACAGTAACGGGCGAGTAGATTGATAGTGGACAGTTCAATCAAGCACAATTTGAAGTAACGATACTTGGTTGCGTGCCAGCTACCATTGCTCTTAGATTTCAGCCACATGTTTGATTGCTCGCTGCTACGACACATCCCTTCTGAATTTATGCTCGCCTAGTACTTTTATACTCCGGTAATTGATTTAAATTTTAACAATTTGGAGTAATTACTTTTAGAAAATATATATATTATTGATATTTATGATTATTGAATGTTAGGAAAATAAAATGAACGTAAAAATAATTATTTTCATACAATATTTTCGTATTTATTCCGCATTCTAAAATTGACTGCACGGTTGGCAGTTGGTTTGATTATTTATTAAATATATAATAGATTTTACTTAATATTATTTTGTATATGACAGGCGGCAGATTAGGACTTCTAAAACAATTAGAAGAATTTTTGGGATACTAATTCATTCACTCTTTCTATACGCGCTTATAATTATGTATAGTGTTGTATTTTAGATAAGTTCTTCTCAGGTTCTTCAATTGTCTCTTTACGCTTATTAAGCAAAATAAATAAAATAAAAAGAATCATCTTCGCAAAGTACCTACATACTCTCTCAATTTATTCGAAACTGTAATTGGATGAAGATGAAGTAGAGTAATTTTCGGAAGACAACAAATAAGTACCTGAGTATAAGGGGAAAAATGTTCGATCATATTTGAAATAAATGCCTAATCACGTAGCAACAGGTAGTAATGGCGGTATTCGTGAAGAAAGTTGTCCTTGAAAATAATATTAAGTACCTATTTTTCCTGGCAAGCAGATTTTCTACGCACGTTTCGAATGGTTTCAGGGAGAAACATGAATCGTGTCTAGAAACACAATTATCATTAGCTATTTAAATATTTGTTTTCTGTATAATGTGGAAGGTTTTGTTGATATTATTATCTAATACCCTGCGCCCGCGCCATGTTGTTAAAAAGTAGCGTACGTATGTCCTATTCTGGACTGTATCCTATGCCCGTGCCAAATTTCATTGAGTTCCGTCCAGCCGTTTTGGCGTGATTGAGTAACAAACATCCAAACATCATAACTTTCGCATTAATATTAGTAAGATTCAAACTTCTAGTCTTGATTTAACTTTCACAATTAATTGATCCATTCCGATGGTTGACTGAGTATACTTCAATCAGATAGGTAATGTAACAAACAGAAATAAAAGTTTAAGTATACACAAAAAACTAAACAACAACAAAAATGATTATGTTCATAATTACATAACTTTATTGTTATTGTAAAATTTATGTATGTAAACAGTGATTAACAACTCATAACATTATCTATTGATACACATTATGTAAATGGTAAAGTTCAAATATTTGTTTATGAAACACATAACATTTAAGATAACGATCCACAATTGGCTCCAGTAAATCTGTGAACGCGAATCATGAAGGTCGTAGTAACTGGAGCGGCTGGATTCCTCGGTTCTCGTCTGGCTGACGCCCTGCTGAGGAAAGAACCACCTTGTCCTCTTAATGTTACTGAACTCGTGCTCACTGATGTCTACACACCTCCACCAAGAAAAGATTCTCGAGTCAAAGTTCTGGCACTTGACTTGACAAATCAATCCGTTGCTGAAGAACTAATCGGTGAACATTGTGATATTGTATTTCATCTTGCTGCCGTCGTCAGTGGCCAAGCCGAAGCTGAGTTCGATAATGGATTAAAAGCTAACTTGGACGCGACCAGGTATCTTCTCGACGCACTTCGAAAAAAAGCACCTAATGCCAAATTTGTTTTCGCCAGTTCTGTGGGTGTTTTTGGAGGGGATTTGCCTCCTGTTATCGATAACATGACTGCGACAATGCCTCAAACGTCGTATGGAACTGCAAAGGCTATGTGTGAGTTACTAGTGAATGACTACTCACGTCGTGGTTTTGTAGATGGTCGCAGCGTTAGGTTACCAACAGTGAGCGTACGCGCGGGTGTCGCTAATGCTGCAATGACGTCATTTGCTAGTGGAATAATTCGGGAGCCTTTAAACGGTGAAGTTGCGATTTGTCCAGTGGATATGAAACAGGAATTGTGGTTGACTAGTCCAGCGACTGTGATACATAATATTATCCATGCAGCTACATTGGATGCTAGTGCTCTGGGCAAGTGGCGTTCCATTAACCTTCCCGGACTCTGTGTCTCTGTGGGGGATATGATTGCAGCTCTTCGTGAAGTGGCCGGGGATAAAGTTGCTTCCCTCATTCGCTACGAATATAATGAAACGATTTCCCGCATGGTTGCTTCTTTACCAGTGCATTTTGATAACAAGAGCGCTCTGAAACTCGGTTTTGCCGTGGATGCTAACTTTAATGAAATTATTTCTCTTTATTTGAAGGAGAAGAACTACAAATTAAAGTAACTTTTTACGAATGTGATTTTCAGTGATTGTTCTAAATAAAGTTTTATTTAATTTATGAAGCGTCTATTATTAGTTTTTGTAAACGTAAGTTAGGTAAACCTATCACAGCTGAACCGTGAACAAGAAATGGCTATTAGACCATAAAATTGAGTGTATTGACCTCTTTGTGCTAACTTTCTTCGAAGAAATAATTCTGAAGCAAAAGTTTGGCAAAACATCACAGAAGGAGAGGAGCAAAAGTAACTTGCGTTTAATATTTCAACACTAGTACGAGTACAGAGTGGAAATACTGACTTACAAGTAACAACTTAGAACTAAGTTAATTATTAAGGGCTTTTCATATAGTTTCTTGTACATATATGTATGTGTGTCTTAACGAGCAACTTGACTGCGGGTAGACTTATGTTTTGACGTTTATTAAATTATATTTGTGTCCTTTCTTTTCCTTGTGTTATGAGAGATGTATTACTAGGTATGTCACGTTAGTTGAAGGACGTAAATCATACATGTATCCTGCTATATGAAAATACTAATCACGTTTTTTATAATAGGTTTCATATGATATACAACTATAGACCATAAAAGTTCCTTATTCTAGTTTAGTTTTAAAATTACACGTCTGTTTTCTTTATTACTGGAATGTACCGCGGTTGCAGCCTAGATCACGAGAAGGAACGGGCTGGTTCTTAGTCCCTATGAAACAATGACAATGAAACAATGAATTTATTTTTGTAAATAGGCCATAAAACGGCACTTTTACACGTCAAATTATGTGTGAAAAACTGGATGAAGCCGGCATTTCATATCTGACTACTCTGAGAAGAAAGTCTCTATTCAAGTCCAGACAATGTAAAATAACATACTGTAAGAGAGAGTCTGACACGCCTTTCCGCCCCATCCAGGGCAAGAAAAGTAATTTGTTGATATTAAAAAAGCTCGATCACTCACTAAGAACACTTTGGAACTGTTTTAATTACTGTGTTTTAGTATATGTATTAGCGAGTACATAATTACATTAGAGCCACTTACTTATTCAAGCACTTACAAAATTCTGTAACAAAAAGGTAATTTGTTTGTTAATTACAGTAGGTACCTTTTATGAAACATCAAGGACCATCGTTACAGAAACAGAAGTAAACCTAACTGAATTGTAATTATACAAGCTTTCTAAAAATAGAATTTCTAAAGAGTGTGAAAGTACCTCTGGAAAGCATAAAAAGGTTTTTGCCTTGAAGCGAGGCAGCACTCCGTCCGATATTTGGAGCGGCGTAGAGCCATCGGAAAACTAACGCTCTGTACAGTACATGTGTATACGTTTACATCTCCGTTTGCTATGGTGTATTAAATTGTGCGAACAAAACGAACCAAGTCAAGGGAATAACAATAACACAAAGATTACAAAAAGAACACAGACGGTATCGTTAAAATTAGGCATAATTCATCGCGGTTCCGTCCTGGTGTTTCCTGAGGGATTAGATGTAAGAGGGTTATTGTGGACATAATTACAAAGGCGTGGTATTTTAATCCTGTCAAAGCCTGGAACTTGAAACAACATCCGCTGACAAGTTCGTTAACGTCTTAAATTAATTTTCGTTTAAAATTTGTCAATTGCCGTCGGAATTAAACGAAGTTTGTCGTTTCTTGACAACGCGGGATGGCTGGCTCGCGGCCAGCAGTCATTTTATAGAGGACTTTATTCTTTGTCTACATGGATGCGGCAACATGCTTCTGAATGCGACTACAGTGAAAATATAATAAATTTTAACTTACTGACACACGACCAAAGCGTCGAATTCGAGGATAACCAATTAAAATTTAAATAGAAGCCTTATCTTTGAGCAAGAATTAATTAAGAGCCACGATTTATCGTTGTTATCATTGGAATGTTCCATTTTAATAATTTTTTTGGAAGTAAACGAGAACAATATAGAAGACCACAAAGAATACAAACATGTGCTTGTTTTAATATACTTTTAACCGCTCCCGGTGAGGACGAGTGCATAGGCAAAAATGTCGATTAAAGCGTCGTATCTTTTTTTATAAACAACCGGATACTCATTGACAGCGGGCGGTCGCAGCCCGCCAGCGATTGCATGGGAAATTGTTAATTCTATTGGAGCGAAACACATAGGAAGCGTAGCACCGCGTACGCTGCGACTTGGCACCCTTCCAGTCAACGATTGTGCTTTACTATGGCGATTATTTTCACTGGTGCACTATTCAAACTGCTTCGGAATACGACTGAATAGACACGAAAGAATTTTCGTGTGCAACGACCGTCTGTAATGACCGTTTATTCTTTGAAACACGCTCGGTGGAAATCCGTAAATAAGTGTAAAGTACCGCACGAATTTAAAATTCCCCCCTTTGAAACATTTACAACTGTTATTTTATGATGACTGAAAAAATATTGTATTAGAAAAATGAACACCTTCCTAAGATTTATTTTCGAGGAAATTGCTATCAAATCTCATCAGATTTCAATCGTTTTATTTATTACCATTTTAGGATCCTTTTCCTAAAGGTGCTCAGTAAAAGCTGCCTCACTAGCACTATTACAATGTCCGAGCCATCTGCTAATCGATTAGCTCTTGAGTAGAGTAGATTTTTTTTATACTTATGTGTAAGATAATCGCTGTTAATATTTTAACTGTGTAATTTGAATTAATGTCTACAAATAAAAATTTCAATGAGTTTTCACTTGATATAATTTTTTACATATTTTAAAATGCACTCTCCTTTTTTTTTCTTCTGATTTGGATGTGCATTGGAACTCTTTTAAATTAATATATACAATATGGAAAACGGAACACGTTCTAAAGAGACGAATACTGTTCTCATTCATGCCTTTTCACAATTGGACAGTTTCTAGTTGAGACTCGCATATATCATTGGCCCAATCATGTCGACAAGCTCACATGCAGGCGATGCTGGGACGGTTCAACCAAATAACAGCTTGACGTATTAGACTGGCTCGAGCATCGTGCCAAGCGGCTCATTGATGATAAACCAACGCTGGAAGCCAAATTAGATAACCTCAAATGCCTACATAAAGAAGCTCAGCGCTGTATATTGCTGAATTAATTTTAGAGAGCACATAATTTTATGCCTTCTAATCCCCAAAAAGGTAGGCAGTGACATCTATATACTTTGGTATACACAGTTTCACCAGTCATATGTGTCCCATGTTTTGGATGTGAGTTGTTTAGTCGCAAAAATAGTTAAATTTGACTTTTCGTACTGTTACTGGACTAATGGAGCAACTAAAGATCCCCATAAAATACTTTTTTGTCTTACAACGCAATTTAGTTTCGATAACTAGACCATAACTAGACCTCGACTGGCGTATAATAGCAGACAGCAAATTGCGTAATAATACTACCGTAAATATTATACAATTTGGTCGTCATTGATCCAATGCGTAACCTAGAAAATCTTTTAAATGTCTGATAAATATATTAACCGCCGCATTCTGAACATTTAATGGTTGCTGAACCCAACTAACTTAACCCAGTCAAGTTTATTTTTGGCAAGTAATTTCGAGAAAAATCATCACCAAATAATCATTCGATGATTCTAGCACAAAATCAAGTTATAAATGGTTTTAAGAGTAGTCTCTAATACAGGCATCACTTGCTTAAACGGAACTTCAATCGCAAATTCTGTATCCACCAAAACTATTTATTGCAAATAAACTATGTATTTTGAAACTATTAAAATGAAAAATTCAAATTCAGAATCAAGGTCGAATGACACAGTCAAGTTGTTGTATTTGATTAAAACACGTGCTTATTTTTTAACTTTTAAGTCGCGTTTATACTATTAAGCCGATCGCGTAGCGCAGTAACTCAAATTGTCGTCATTGACCCAGTTATAAAACTTGACCTGTTTAAGATCATTATTTAATAATCCATATTGATGCGAAATAAGTCTTAATTTTAAAATGTAAATTGCAAATAAACTAGGTTTGAACTTAGAATTAAAAAACAGCCCGTTTTTTATCATCATAATTACTAGAAGATAAATGAAATGACAGTAAAATTGGATGACTTTATTCTACAGTGCTGCCATCTGATAAAAGCGAAATTATTATTTACAAACAACATTGTTTGAATATGTATATCGTGGAGAACCAATTCATTTTCATCATTTCATCAACGTACGTAATAAAAAGTGATTATACGAATAAAGTTCATAATGATTTACCTATTCAATAAATTAATCTAAACAAAATTATCCCTTTCCAAGAAATATTTATCAAACTAACAAAACACATTTATACCGTATAATATTATTTTATCCTCAAAAGGGTTACGTAAAGCGAAATTACGAATGTTGTAAATAAAGAATGGGGAACAAATTACGACGTTGAGGGTAAAGACTGATTATTACATAATATTCCTTTTTTTAGTTTGCTTATTTTCTTTCGGAAACAAACAGGCGTCTATTTGAAAAGGGAAAGAAGAATAAAAAGGAAATGGAAGATTTTTTGTCAATTTAGTGGTCAATCTTTGGATTATTTTTGTCGTATCTAATGGTAACAAATAAATCTGAGAAGCGTTTAAAAAGAAGAATATCCTATTTGATTGTATTTTTTTTTTGTTTTTTTGCGACATGGTATTAATGTTATCTCCTGCCAGTACCATTTTATTGGTTTTGTATAAGTATCTTATGTAGACATGCAATGATGTTTTATATCCATATTCAAATTCAAATTTTCAATACTTATGACTGAACCCTGATAGTCGAAATGAAATCAATTTAAACTTAACAAGTAAGTTGGCAATCAAGAAGCAATCGGCACTGCCCATGAACACCCGCAACGCCAGAGGAGTCACAAGTGCGTTGCCGGCTTTTTGGGGATTAGGATTTGGGAAATTTAGGGATTCAATGAAAAAGAACGAAATATTAATTAAAAATTATACATTAGTGAATTCACTTTATCAAACAAACTGCACAAACAAAACAATGTTATACATACTTTTTCTTTCGTCGCGTTTGAAATCCGAATCATTTATTTCCCGCGAAAAAAAAATACGGTATACTAAAACCCGCACCCTCATTCTTTTGTTTTGTCCTGTACGTGGTTGGCACATACTTAGCTCTGTATCGTTACGTCATCACAACAAAGACTTGGATACCAACTGTGTACAGCTTCTCGGACAAAAACCAACAATGATGGATCGTGTTTGCCACGAAATAATCTTATACATACATACACACTTATTTTTCCTATAAAAGTATCGGTATTTTAGTATGTGAGCCTTTGCGCAATCTTTCAGAGGCGGGATAAGCTGAGTTTGGAAGAAAAACAAATAGTTTTTTGTTAAATAAATGGCTTTTTGTAGTACTTTTTTGGTCGTTTACATGATTGATATCCGGGCACTTTTACGCATACGTGAATAATTTTCACTAACGTTTTATATAAGAATTGGTGCAGCTAATTAAATATCTATTATTTATTTATGAATAATTATACAATATTAAAACGTGTCAATCGGCGAATAGGTACTTTTATATATTTTTTATTCCTATTGTTCAGCATACTAGCAGACAGATTACTTAGATTTTATGCTTGGTGATAAGATATCACCGCTGCCCACAGACAACCGCAACCCCAGAGGAGTTATAAGAGCATTTCCAGCCTTTTGGGAATTCGAGTTTTGGGGGATTTTGGGGATCGGGGATGAAGGTGAGAGACTCCTATAGTCTCGCTGATATGACAAAACACACCATGAGTCCGCAGTACCAATCCGGTCAAGCCCGGGCCTCCTGTAGCCTCGCTGACATGACAAAACACACTACGAGGTTGCAGTACCAATCCGGTCAAGCCCAGCCCATTCGTGCGGAACATGGCTCTTCCAGGCTTGTATTTACAGCTGGAAATAGAATTCAATACTAGACACCAAGCTCAATCTATTTTGTAAGCCATAGGAATGTTAGCATCGACACGCTATGTCAACGATGGCCGATATGGGAGTATCCATTGTTATTTGCTAAAGGTTTTTCCATCACCAGTTTCGCGTGTGTTCTAAACGTTATAGCGAGTAATACTATTCCCCAATATCATGACATTGATATCGAATTTAAACCAGTTATAGTGTGCATATTGTATTTGAGTTTTATGTCTGCAACTGTTATTTGACCACAACAGAATTTGGAACAAAGAAATCTTTGAGCGATCCTCATATTGTTGTTTCGGTTCTTGGTTTGATATATTATAGGTGTTGATATGAACTGTTGGTTTGTAAACACAGTAGGTGTGGGTCAATGATTAAAATAATACGTGACGTACATTCTTTTTTTACTTGTAGGCTCAATATTTTTAAAGTGTATGAAAGTCATATTTAGCGCTAATGGGTTAGGTCCACCTGATTCATACCACGGATTCGCCGAAAGCTGGTGTGAAAAAATTACTTGAATTATGTTTCAGTGTTTAAAGTTACAGTAGATCTGAAAGCGACCTCCCCTAATCCTCATTCCTTAAATCCTTTAACGTACGCAATCGAGTGTCTTGAGACGGCGTCGATTGCTTGCCTGAGTCACCATCAGATTAATCAATAACTGTATACCGCCTATTTACAAAAAAAAACTGATCGCGATTACAAAATATTGTTATAATAATAATATGTGAAGGATTGTTTATAGTGAGAAGACATTCCTATCGCAGATTAGCAACATATAAAAAATTCAACGTTGACTGACAACGTTGCTTTTAAAATCGCTGTTTTTAACACTCAACACACTACTACATACTTTCATGTTTCACTGACTGGGTAATTATTGGTTGCTTTTTGGTATTGCGATACTGTGATAGAGTCGTCGAAACGTGCAATTTCGATGCGACCATCAAATGCAGGAAGTTGCTGTAACGATACAGTATCGATGTCAGTCGCCAAATTGCCGATAGTTGATACTAAAACTAGTGTTCAATGTGACAACATTTTTGTTCTATTTTCATAGGTTAATCGGTTGCGATTAGCTCTCTTGTTTTGTACCTGAATGTTTATATATCTAGTACATACATATTTGATTACTAGTATATATATGTAGTATAGTCTACTAGCAGACCCAGCCACGCGTTGCTGTGGCTAAGGTAAATAATATTGTGACTACATATCCTAGCTTACATCTCAATTTATAGTCACAATCAGTCATCAGTCATCTTTCAAGTTAGATCAATTTAAAATCGGTTTAGTAGTTTAGGAGTCCATTGCGGACCAACACGTGACACGAAATTTTTATATACATATAAAGATAGTCTGTGTAGTCTACAAAGTAGTACTACAATAAGCTTATATTATAGCCCTTTGGTTGAAAAGTAAATATGAAACGAATCATTTTGAAAATTATTTAATAAAAGCCTATTGTATTGTCCAACAAAAAATATTACAACCCTTTAAAACTTTTAAAAGTAAATTAATTATCGCACAGATATAAAACATAAATACCAAAGTAGCAAATTGTTAACGATAAAATTTTGAAGACAGATGTTCCTGAGATGTAATCCCAAAACTACGGTTAGTCCCCCGGGTCGAGTGGAGTAATGAAACTTTGAGCCTAAAATTAAATTAATTAGTTGCTTACGTATCTCGTTTCCTCTCTCGTGTTTATGTACCGAAAATCTTTGTTCGGTATTCATTATCGTTATCGACCTGCAAGAAAAAGGCCCGAGGAGCCTCTACAGTTCGTAATTATCAAGAAAAATTTTTAATAATTACTACGTCCAATATATTTTTTTAAATAATCAAGTTGCTTCTAATAAGAACGGCCTTTGAAAATGGTCCTATTGGCTTTTTAAGTGTTATGGATTTTTAGAGTTCTTTTTTTTATGTAATAGGTCGGCAAACGAGCAGACGGATTACCTGATGGTAAGCAATTAGCGCCGCCCATGGACACTCGCAACGGAGGAGTTACGAGTGCGTTGCCGACCTTTTAGGGATTAGGGATTTGGAGATTTAGGACGGTTCCTAAATCTCCAAATCCCTAAGGGATTGGGAAGGGGAAGGATTGGCTCTCCGGTAACCTCACTTACAGGGCGAAACACAACACTGTGGTTGTTTCACGCCGGTTTTCTGTGAGGCCGTGGTATCACTCCGGTCGAGCCGACCCATTTGTGCCGAAGCATGGCTCTCCCACACTTCAAAGTTATCCGTTGCTTATAAGAACTGTTTCTTAGTTCATAACCATAGTAATGCCTGCTAAGTTCTTACTGCTTACTGGGGATACTAGATCACAGTAGGTATTTCTTAATCAGTTTTTTATTGTAATTTAAACTGATCTGTCGTAATGGGGTATAAGCAAAATAAGGCATAATCGCCTGTTAATTCCTTACTGTCGAAAAAAGTCCTTACTAGACTTATAGTATGTCTTAGTCATCTTTTTGTAATTTAAACTGAACCATCGTAATGGAGTACAAACAAAATATAACTCAACCACTTGATATCTTTATAATTATCTGGCTGACATGAAAATTAAGGGGAAGCATGCACATCACATTGGCTGCAACCCAAAACACTTTTTATAATGAATATTTGGCAACTTTGAGGGTCATAATGACTAATTGATGCAGTGCTTGTATGCAGTATTATATAATTGGAGAGACTTTGTAGATATTACTAATCGTATATTCATTTCCATCATCATCATCATCAGCCTCTTGAAAAGGCCTCTTCTCACACGGATAAGGTTTACCACGCTTGCTCAATGCGGGTTGGCGATTTCAAACTTATAATTAGAAATTATAAGTCCAGGTTTCCTCACGATGTCTACCTTCACCGTTTGTCAGTGATGTCTAAATAATCATAGTAAGTACATATACCTCGGAAGAAGTCGAAATGGTACTTGCCAGGATTCGAACCCACACTCTCATGCATGAGAAGCGGGCTCTCTAACCTCGATACTCGACCACCACGACCCCTATATATTAATTTCCATACGATTTGCATAATCGTGTTGAAATTATATCTACAAAAGTTGTTGTGTGTGTTGGATAATTATATGCAAGGAAATATTTAACTAATATTTAACTAATAAGCTTTTTTATTAGTGCCTACTGTTGAGCTAAGGCCTCTTAAGAGAAGTTTTAATTATTAATCACCACGCTTGCCCAAGACGGATTGGCAATTTTCAAACTTAAATATCCTTATTTTCTCTCAACGTTTCCTTTTGCTTTTCTAAATAAACTTAAACAGTACATATATTTTGGAAAATGTCACATTTGTCAGGTTTCGAACTTGTGCTCATTTATGAGTAGCGGTTTCTTGAACCTCCGAGGCACCACGACATAATAAGCTTTATGAGATAAAAATAATACATGTACCTATTTCTGAATTACTACTGTATGATTAATTACATAAGTTTGGTATAAAACGTCAAGATAAACATTCTCACAAAATTTATAATTTCGAATATTAGTAGGAAGTTATTTTGAAAACAATGCCTGAGAAAGGAAATTTTAAAGTAGGTTTATTAGTATTTTTCCACAATAAAAATACAACACAACACAATACAACGATACTCGTAAATTGGCCGTGAAGTGCTGTCTCAAAATGTTTGTTTACGTCTATCAGTATCAAGATAAAAGCGGCCTTTCATATCAAATAAAACGTCAGGGAAAACTCAAGAATTCTCAATTTAAGTATTATTTAAATAAGAAAACAAACTATTTTGCGGAACGGTATCAAATTGAACTTGGACGAATTAAAAATATTGACCCATTTTACAGCGAATACCAATTAGTTCGCCGAGCATTTTCTTTTTAAAAGTTTGCGGTACAGAAATATTTGCTTTTTTCCACGGTTCTGCTTACTCGTTGTCCTGGTTGTAAGTTCTAATTTGATTTTGTTTCGGATGACTTAAATTAGGTACAGTTTCAAGCTTATTTTATTTGTTGACATAACAAAACTAATTTGTTTGTTTTTAGTAGCAATGTTGTGTCCATTATTTTATTTATTACGTTATTTAAGGTGTAATTATTTGTTAAAAGAGACAATATTTTCGAAAAAGAGGGAATACTTTTGCTGGTGAAAATATGTGTAACAATTTCAATTATAATTATACATACTACAACACATTTCACTATTTAATTGTTCGACTGTAACTGCAAAGGAATGGCTCGAATTTTAAATTGGAAAAAATATATCTGTTACTTTTAAGAATTTGTAGCATGGAACACGAAGTCTGGATATCACAAGCACATTCCCTATTATAAGGAACTCGATCATAGCAACTAGTGAACCATAGTGCAACAGAATACATGTGCACATTGGCTTAGCTCTTTAACATGTAAAAGACTTAACATTAACGTTAATCATTATTCTCAGTCAATAGGTATAGGTACACACTGCTGAGCAAAGGCCTTTTCCAATACGGAGAAGGTTTGAGGCATTCATAACATTTTTCAAGACGGATAAACGATTTCCAACTTATAGTTAGCAATCATAACTTCTAGATGTCTTCACTGTTTATCAATGGTGTCTAAATAAACGTAGGAAGATCATAAAACTAGAAAATGTCATACTGGAATTTACCAGGTTTTGAACCAGCACTTTCATGCATGAGAAGCGGGCGGAACGTTTACGCAAACGTAGGTACGTTATTCACTGTTTCAAAATTTAATACCCCACAAACTCTGTACATTTTGCAGTGCCGTTCTATTATTTGCAGTTTACATGCGATATAACGACACGGTCATATGAGATTTCTCTTATATGTATATAGAGCCTCGATATCGATATTCGGGTTTTGGCGAAATTCATTTAAGCCCGGAAAACCGCACGTACAGAACGTTTTTGCTGCAGATACGTGCCTGGCCGAACATTTTGTTACTGTGTGACTGGACGTAGCAATGCCAGAAGATTCTTGCCATCCGATACATTTTTGCAGCGACTATTTTGTGCCGGAAGACCAGCGTTTGACTCGTTCTTTTTAGTTCAATAATCGAATGGTATTGTTTGATGTATAAACATAAATTATGCGCCAGACTTAGATAATAATAACCTCTCGGTGGATTACCGAAGTGAAGCAACATCGAGTTCAGTTAGTACTTGGACAGGTGACCGCCTGGAAATACTGCGTGACGTTAGTTTTCAGTCGGTCCCAATAGGGCTGATTATAATGAATGAAATACCTTGGACCTGGTCTGGAGCAGAAGAAGGAACGGGGGATTTTTAATCAGTAAAAGTCTGACATTTCCTCTCGCCTCAATATGGACGATAGAAATAAAAACACCTTAGATGATAAAGGTTGTTTTTACCTTTTAAATATACCGGCTATTAGATAGGCGGTATTAAAAACATACCTACTATACTTTCCTTTAGTTATTCTATAAAATATACATAAGTAATTCTAGTGCCAAATTCCGTGTATATTTGCTGAACAAAGTTATCCAAATAAACTGTTTGGAACAAAATAAATACAAAGCAGAAAAGTAGTAAATTTAGTAGTTTCAGTTTACTTGTTTATAATTTTCAAGCAACAAGTCAAACAGCAACTAACGTACCTTGTACATTTTATTATTGTTTGTATACCAATGTTTTTCTCAGTTTGAACATTTTCGGTAGTTGTGCTGGATCTGGAATATTTAGGTTAGGTTTATGTATAATTCCAGGCTATATTTATCTCTGTATCATATAAATATACCTATATAGCTTTTATTCAGACCAGTTCAATAGTTGTTACGTACAGTTTCATGTCAAGAATACAAACAACCATCCATAACTACAAGCTTTTGCGTCTATAATATATACTAGGCTTAGCATTTTCAATTTGTAACCTGAAGCTAGGTAGAAAACTGTCGCTTGACTTGTTCTGTTCAAAGGGCTTTTTTGAGAAGGACAAAGCATCAAGTTTCATAACCGAATTATATGGAGCGAGAGGAAGTGTCAGACTCTTGCTTACTAAAAAACACCCCGTTTCTTCTTGTCTCGTCGGGTGGCGTGCTACATATACTTGCCGTCCGTAGACCAGCGCTAACAGACAGTGGCCAGATATCTTTCTTGACTCACGACGGCTGGGAATGTGGGAGATAATTCCATGACGTGCCATTTTCTTTACGAGCACATCATGGTCTGTTTAAAGCCCGGTGTGAAAGGTGGCCTTCACTAATTTTCTTGAGGACGCCACGGTCAGCCAAACAGGCAACACCACCAAAGGAAACTCGAGATCCGGAAGAAGTGGAACATTTTTCAGATGTCATTACGAAACTAGTACCAAGTTAGCACCTAGTTTAAAACTATGCTTAGTAGTATTTAGAGTAGACATACATCCTTATACGCAGTTCTCCTATCCTTAGTAACTATTTTAAAATTGAGTTCTTTATTATATTGAGTCCATTACTCCTTTTTAATACATCCATTCAAAAATAAATGACAGATAGTTGTTTACTAGTAAAATTGTTATGTAATATTCATATACATAGTGTACATGAAGGTAGGCAGCATATAGCAACATGTTTGGTTAGTTACAATAACATGATCCGGAACGTGTCAAGAATAAACACTCGAACGTCATGTAAGAGACAAGTGGCTAAGTACTATAATACTATAATATTAATATACTGAATACTAAATATTGTTTTGATATTTTTCTTGTTATAAATGCATCTTGTCATTTGATATAAAGAAGAATATGTATCCACTACATCCTAAGTTAAGAATTTCATCACTTTTCTTGTGTAATTTGTAATTCTTACATGGATGTGATAGAAGCTAGGGATGATCTACAAAGCGCTGGGTTATGGGCGTTGAGTAAGGGTAGCCCGAACCTGAAATAGATCCGAATAAATGTCGCTTCGTCCATCAGAATCGCTGGTCTAGCGCAACGACCTCGAACTACAGCCCAGCTCGAATCACAAGATGGAACGATGTGGTTTTTAGTCAGTAAGAATTCGACATTCTCTCTCACACCTTATAGGACATTCGGAAGAGGTTCTTCACTCAAAAAAAAAACGTAATTTCTTATCTGTCTCTAAAATGTGTAGCGTACTGTATTTTATTTTTCGTAATTACCTACACTATTATTTTTTAGAAAAAAGGCTAGCTAATTGCTCCTCATCAGAATCAGAGGCTGAACACTAATAGATGTCTATTATGGAACTAGTCGAGTATCTCGTCAAATTATTACGTGAGTAAGCCGAAAACATGATAACTAATATATGACCAAAAGATATCCAAAATTTATTTTATGACATGTGGAATGCATTATTCGAATAACACGTTTCACTGACAATTGTTTTGATATAAAGGTATGTAGATATGTACTCAAATAACTAAAATAAAACGATACCTATATTCAGGTGTCTGCGGTTTCACTAATTATTTGTAGCAGGAATTATTGATGAGTTTGCAATGTTGGCCGAGACGATAAATCACTTTTGTTACATTGTATTTAAATTATCAGTATCTATTATAAATTTTGATTTGTATTTCGTGTTTTTATGATTTTGTAGGTATCTAGATATTGTATTTTATATATATATATATATATATGTTTGTAAATATGAAGTCTTAAATTAATAATACGCAAGATTTCAGAATATTTTATTTCAAGAATATGAGGCAGCTGCAAAATCGAAGATAACTTATTATTATAAACTTATAAGGATGTATTCATTAAACATGTTTTTTTTTTATTTGTGGCTATAGATCAAGTTATTTTTTTTACTAATTTAAACATGAATTGTATTTATAAACGAATTCACGACACAGTTCAAAATCCAAAAACCTAGTTAGAGCCGATGTTTAAATAAATTACTCTAGCTCCAACTATAAGCGACAAAAATAACAAAAACTTTTTTGTTTCACAGTTATTTTGGCCGAAAGTAAAGTTATGTACAAAGATCATATTTTATAATAAAAGTGTGCTGTGCCAAATACGGAGAAATGTTTCACAAAACTGTAGATATATGGCGTTGGATTTCCATTATTTGCATTCCGTATGGAAACGGCAATGCGAAGTCGATATGCGTTTTCAAACGTTGTGGTTTATGTAGGAATGGTTTGAAGTGTTGGATGCCGAGATGGGTATATCAACCAATATTGGCTCGATCTGTATACATTCTCTTGTTCCTTTTTGTTATTATTTTCTTTTCAAACATTTATGTGGGTGTCGGTGTTCTAACTGGGGTGTCGGAGTTTTTTGAAAGAGGTAACATTTACACTTATATTTTTCTAAATTATACGTGCCTTATGATCTTTGTATAAAACAATTTTATTGAAATATTTTTTGCCATAGATGTTACATTTCTTCTTAATATTTTAAGTAGACGTTTCGTAACTACTTTTTTGTTGTTTTATGATAGTTAACTATTCGAAAATATATGTGTATTACATAAACTAACCTGAATCCAATGTTCATTAATCGATGAAAACATTATTTCGATGCAAATAACAAACAAATTATCCATCGTAGGACACCAAAGTTAACAGGAACAAAGATGAAGTATAGAACGGACCTAGCGTAGTAAAAACCTATTAATATTAATGGGCTATCTAGACGAAGGTCTCGGTAAAGTTACCAGCTAGGGACGTGCTGGCGTAATCACCATTCTGGTTTGATGCTCTGGTGATTACGTACAAAGTTTTGCTAGGTTTTGCTGTTAATACTAACGGGTAGAGATTGCGAAATTTATGATTATATGTACATACATTCTAGATGATTTGTAATGTTTTGGAAGCCAAAGTTTGGAAGTTTTATTTTGAATTTTATGTTTTTAGAATAGATTTTACAATACATTTGCTAAGACTCATGTGTCATGTGCCGTTGTTATACACTGACTACTTAGTTTTTCTGTAATAAACTGTACTATGAATATATAATAATAGGTACTATGAATGTATTGCCTTCAGAAATATTTACATTTAACAGTGTTATTTTATACAATTCCCCACGCCTGACATAAATTGGGCACTTGGAAAAAATATTATTTGGATAAACGCAATATTTAATATTTGTTAAAAACAATATAACGCTAATTTTAACTGATTTAACGATATGTACCTACAATTCGTTGTTTGAGTTATTTTTTGATGTAAGAAGTATGCTGGTTGACAATCCCGTAGAAAATTAATATATAGAAAATAATTTTTAACAATTCTACAAAGATATTGAATTCTTAAATAAAGTAAAACATTAAAATTTTATGGAACAAAACTCATTCAAGTTACCTACTATCAATGTTACTGTTCACTATTTTAGCAACGAAAAGAATAAACGTTTTAAACTTCAAATTCAGTTTGTGATCTAAACCCTAACACCATTGTACAGCTAAGCCACGTAATGCTATTATCTAATATCCCAGTCCAATATCTTGTCACACTCAGTGTGGTTGCCAGAACAAAAAAACACTATGACAGTTAGAACGAAGTAATATCATAAGTGTTCCAACCGTACTCGTCTATTTTCGGGAAATAACCTAAAACTAGAACACTATCGGGTAGACAAAACAATAGAAAACTCTCGGTTTTATATTTTTAAAACAAAAGGCAATTCAACTGACAAGTTGACATAGTTTTTAGTTCTATTGTTATGTAGTTGTGAGGTTGTGACTACGTAAATGAGATACGGAGATATCTTTTCTAGCTACTGGCACAGAATAAGGTAATACCTTTCACTAATGATAATTTTGACTAATGTTTGACTGCACGGTTGGTGCGGTGGCTGGGCAAATGGCTGCCGTGCAACGTGTCGCGGGTTCAATTCCCGCACGGAACAACACTTTGTGTGATCCACAAATTGTTGTTTCAGGTCTGGGTGTCATGTGTATGTGACATTCTATGTTTGTAAACGCACCCACAACACAGCCCAGAGGGTCATGGCTATACGAGTAATCCGCGGGTATCGCACGATCTCCGGGGAGGCGGCGAACCTCCTTGCCGGATCACCGCCGTGGGATCTAGAAGCGAAGGCGCTCGCGCGCGTCTACAGTTTGCGCGCAGACGCGCGTCGCCGGGGCGAAGATCCTCTGCCGCGCCAAATTAGTGCGTGGCGGAATGAGCTCCGGCGAGATCTCATGGCAGAGTGGAAACAACGATTGTCGCAACCGAGGGCCGGGCACGCTACCATAGCAGCGGAAAGACCCCTCTTTGAGGAGTGGCTTGAGAGACGCCACGGCGTCCTCACCTTCCGTCTGACGCAGGTGCTTACCGGGCACGGCAGCTTCGGTAGGTTCCTGTTTCGGATTCAGCGGGAGGAAACGCCCGAGTGTCGTCATTGTGAGGACCACCTAGAGGATACGGTGGAGCATACGGTAGCGGTATGCCCTGCCTGGGCTGAGCACCGCCGTATCCTCAGGGAAGTGATCGGCGGCGGCGACCTCTCGCGCCCGGCCTTAGTCGAGGCCATGGTGCGGAGTGAGAGGAACTGGGACGCCGTCTCCTCCTTTTGTGAAGCAGTCATGCTCGCAAAGAGAGAGGCGGCCCGCGTGAGGGAGCAATCCTCCTCCTCACGCCCCAGCAGCCGCAACTGGCGACACTACGGGCGTCGGGGATCGAGGGACGATCTCCGGCCACCGTCAGTACGGGCCTGCGGTCGGCGAGTAAGGGCAGCTCGCCGCCCGACCAGAACCAGGCCCGAGCGTACGGCGCGTAGCGTTCCGCGCGCGCCTCAAAGAGCCATTCGACCACCACAGACGGGGCCCTAAAGGGCTGATGTTCAGCCGGGGTTGCGGGGTAAGCGCAATGAGGTACCGCGACCTCGGCACAGAGCAGGAGAAGGAACAGGGGGGTTTTTAGTCAGTAAGAGTCTGACACTCCCTCCTGCCCGGCCCTGGGCGGGAGAAGTCATTTGATGATTCTCCCCTCACAAAAAAAAAAAAAAACCCACAACACAGGAGAAAATCCTTAAGTGGGGCATAGGTTTCTTATAAAAAAAAAATAAGAAAAAAATATAATACGACTTCACACAAATAAACTTAATAAAATTAAAATGTTTTGTGTCTCCTTGTGATAATACTCAGCTGTCGTCATAAGACAAAGTCGTTAGTCTAAACTATAACATCATATCACTGTAAATTTGTCATATACTGTATCAAACAGACCATTCAAAGCCAACCGTCATAACCCGCTATCTACCCGTAAATAAGCCGTAGTATTAAGGTCAGACGATTGCCTACAAACGATATAGGCTCAGCAATGACCCTTAACCTTCCTTAACCATTCAACTTGTGCACAAGATTAATTAAACTATTAATCCCGGAAAGTGTAGCTTACGCCTTAATCGCTAGCCAATGAAACCGCGTATTCTTTAGCCGTGTACTTTGGATACGTCGATCTATTACTGTTCGGAGCCGAATGCGATCTTTCCGTCCATTACGTCGTAGTAATTACTCGGGACCGTGTAACATACAGCTTTTGCTACCTTTGACGAGTCCGGTCACACGTGAACGTAGGAATTGCCAATTTTCACTAATGGAACGATAAGTGTGGGGGTAGATAGCTTTGTTAGGTCATTTGTTTTGTTTGCGTTTTGAAATATTAGATAATATTGTACAGAGTATTGTAGGTAATTTAAGGATTAGTCTAGGAAACTGTTTCTGTTCATTTTGATTCTACATCAAAATATCAGGGAAGACTTGAAGTAGTGAGAGTTTATTTCTTTTTAAAACCTCACGATCTACGATAGATCTCTGTAACACCAAGTCGCCAACAACCCTAACAAAATGGCACTATTACACACGCCTTTTTTCTTGACATCTGAAAGAATTACGTCTTTAAAAGGAAAAGGTGCTTCGACATCGAAAGGTAAAACATCTCAATTTCACACCTAACCGGCGCGATTAATTGTGTTACGGATCATTAGACGCAGCATCTCGATATATGGAGGCAGCGGACGAACGTCCCGCCTTAAATCGATTCGAGTAGCTACGACTCGATTTGAAATCGAGACGTTTGAAAGCACACTTAGCCGTGGATGCTGCATTATTTATTTCTAAAGTTCAAACGTACTAGATATATATTGAGTCCTTGGTTTATTTACAGCTAAATTATTGTACGCTTCCCTGGACACTAGAAAAATGAGTCTTAAGTACAACATTTCCTTCATGTAATTAACCAAATTAGAATGGAGAATGTCTCGTGTAGTGTTCGCTCGTGTCCTTGAGTTTTCGTAAGGACAGAAGGATAATATGACCGTTATGATATGACAGTTAGATGTTGGCTGGAAGCCAAAACCCGTGATAATATTCCTATATTCTTCCTGTCGGTAATACTATGTGGAGACGTTTTTTTCTTAATTCGTGCCGTTTGGAATAGAATGTGTATTTCTGTAGGCTGTGATATCATTAGTTTTTATTTTATTTTATAAATAGCTACGTTATTTTGAGTGAGGCCTCCAAGCTTAGGAACTAAACGTCGTACAACTGAGATATAGGTCACGTTTTATCACCCTCATTTTAAGAAACCGATAAATTTTGTTTCAGATAGTTCATACACATTTCGTTCTATATTCAAATTTATCTGATAGCTTATATTTAGTGGAATAAGGGCTGATTTTTCAATGGTTAGATAAAAATTATATGAGGAATAATTATGATGTTGTCGCGTCAGAATGTTTGTATAAGACAGTGACAGCAACAATTTTATTCCTCAGATAACATTTATCTGACTATTGAAAAATCAGCCCTAAACATTGTGAAATAGTCCCTTTGTCTTTCTGTTTCCATGAAAAACATTACAACTTTATATTTAGCACCAAAATTTATCTCTAGCAACATTTTCATTCAGATTTCTATTATTGTCTATTAAAAATGTCATTGAGACACTAGTGATGTTACCCGTTGCGTATCGATATTGAAATTTTTATACTTTTCTCTAATAAGATCAGTGTAAACTAGATTAATAATGCCATCAGCTTGCATTGGCATCACTAGCGATATGAGAGAAGCAATAGCAGTGCTTTAGCCTGCTTATCTTATCGGACGTAAGTGGTATAAGGAAGTGGGTCACCGTAGAGAGCTGCTGTTGCGTGGAAATGTATTATCGATACTGTTACGATGTGCTATATCGATGTATCGATAGATCATCATTTGTAATTGATATAATAAAATATAAAATTATGTCTTAAGCCGGCCTTATTACAAAACATGCTTAGAAAAGGTTCTAATCTTTCTTTTTGATACTAATGAGAGTGGGAGAGCCATGCTACGGCACAAATGGGTCGGCTCGACCGGATTGATACCACGGCCTCACTGAAAACGGCATGAAATAACCACAGCGTTGTGTTTCGCCGTGTGAGTGAGGTTATCGGAGGCCCAATCCTTCTTCTGCCCCAATCCCTCCTCGATCCCTAATCCAAAAATTAAAGTCGGGAACGGACTCGTAACTCCTCCGTTACGGGTGGCCATGTGCGACGCTGATTGCTTACCATCAGGTAATCCGTCTGCTCGTTTGTGGATGCATAATACATGTTAATAATGATATAATTTTTTAGAAAATTTAACTACAAAACAATTTTATATTTATCAAGCATATAACTAGCAATAAATGAACAGCTGTAGGTACGTAAATCATGGCAATATCAGTTGACATAGGTGCTGACGTCAGTATACAGTGTGTATTTAATTTATTCTGGAACATTAACGAATATTATCTGTACTTAAATCTTTAGTAAATATGTTAACATTTATTAATTAAAATCGTCAGTAATTTTACCGAAGCACAAAGTAAACCTTTTATAGCTAGTTACTGAGAGTTAATGCTTATTGATCAATATTATGTCTAGGTATATTTTTTATTTAAAATGAACTTTATTAACTTATAACTAAGGTCTTTATAATAAGTAATTTTTCTATACTGTACGTGTATTCCTATCGTTGACAGTCATGATGTTAGGCGTCCTCTTTTCTTCCATGAAGTTTTGGTTTGAGTTCTAAGCTCGGCAAGTCAAATAAAGTTTTTAAGTTCGTTTAACACTTCAAACGGCAAAGGAAAACCATTGTAACTATGGGGAAAGCCGGACTTATAATTTCTAATTATAATTTTGAAGTTTGAGATAAGTACTTTGTTCAGTACTTATCAGCTTATGATGTGACCTGATAATGTTAATTTAAATGCTATACCAATATAGGACTACGTATTTTCGCCATAAAAAATCTAAAATTCAATTTTTATCATATTAGTTTTATTTACTATTATTATTTAAGAAATAAATGTCTTTTTATTTTGCACCTTGTAAAAAATGAAATCTGATTAAAGAACCCTTCCTATTTTTAACCGACTTCAAAAAAAGGAGGAGGTTTTAAATTCGACGCGTATTTTTTTGACTACAAATAGAATTGCAATAACATAATGAAAAATAGACGAACAATTAAAAAAATTGTTCCTTTGTCTTCTGCCATCGCATAACAACTAAATATAATAAAGTCCATTAAAAAAACAATCTGATTTAAAAAGTGTCCATTTTTTAAATCAGAATTCTAAAAGAACAATTTTCAAAGTTCGAACCATTTCAAATTTAATAAAGTAGGTATCTACTATTAAACTTGGAATGTGGAAGTTAAACGGAATATTGAACAGTGAAAATTGGGATCGTGAAATGCATGTGACATGTGAATATTTTAAATGATTTTCGGTGCTGATTTTTCTTTTAATGCTTTCCGGGCGATCAAGCGTCATGTATCGCGGCTTCGACCTGGAGCAGGAGAAGGGACTGGGTGGTTTTTAGAGAGTAAGAGTTTGATACGACATAAATACCTACCTTTATAGTCAAATGACTCAATTTAACCAATTATCTGTAAGAGGATAGATTTTGTAATAAATATACATACTACCTACCTGCTATATATTTATATTATATTTCGATGATTCTCTAATTAACGTCCATTATCTAATATTATCGTAACTTTTTTTATTGCAATTCCATCTGATGGTAAGCAGTGATGCTGCTGCTGATGATGATGATCGGTATTACCTACTGCGGTTCTAATTACCTAATACTATAATACTTTCATATGTTTTTATTTTATTTATTTTAATGTGTTTATGTGAAATTAGTGAAAGATAATAATTGTTGGGTGTTTTTTGGGAGGGGAAAATCATCAAATGACTTCTCCCGCCCAGGGCCGGGCGGGAGTGTCAGACTCTTACTGACTGTTCCCCCTGTTCTTTCTCCTGCTCTGGGCCGAGGTCGCGGTGCCTCATTGTGCTTACCCCGCAACCCCGGCTGAACATCAGCCCTTTAGGGCCTCGTCTGTGGTGGTCTATTGGCTAATAATTGTTGGGGTAACTAATGAATGCCAAATTAGAGGAAGGTTGATTTAGAGTTTAACAAAACAACCAAGGTACGATTTACCTAATAAAAATTATAAGCATCGAACCATATTTCAAAAATATTTTGTATGATTGTAGTTCTAAAAATTGTGACAAGGAAAACATCAGTTTTTGACATCGAACCATTTTAACATAGTAGCTTTTAATTAATATAGAAGCAAAAAAACTGCTATCGTGAAACATGACATGCGAATATTTTTAACGATTTACATGGCTGGTTTGCGCCAGGTCGCACCGTTTTAATTTTTATTGATGCCAAAGTTTAGTCAGTAGATAGGAAGCTGATTCGTCGTTTTTTTATCAAATTAATTTTTATATTTCGTTATTGTTTTGTTGGTTTTATTGTATGTTATTAAATTTTATTTCACACTTCGTTAAATTATTTCATATTTTAATTTGTCTATATAGAGTCGATAGCGTACGTGTTTCAAATTACTTTCATTTTTTAGCCGTCTTTGT